TGTCTTCCTGCTGCCTTATTACTTTGATAAATTAAAAATAAGTCATTTTAGATTAGATTCATTTTAGGTTATGCTAAGTAACTCCATAAAAGTTCATCCCAGTGTTACAAACTAAAGAGTACAAGCATATTTTGATTTCAGAGTATGGATGTGAATTGCACTGGTACAGTTACTGCCATCAAAGTATACTTTGAGTTGATCTAGTGAAGATCTAGTTACAATCTCTTCCAGATACAGTGCAAATAAGTTTATTTTGGACATAATGCAATTTCTTTCAGTTGTATAGCTGAGCAGAAAAATCCTTGGACAGAAAGTAGTTGTTGCTAGTTCCTGTTTAAATTGGCAACTCCTGCTCTTAACATTGGCATGAGAGGCACTAGGGCTGATTGCATTAAGCTTTAAAATGCTAAGTGGTAATAAAAAAACCCACACCCAAACGTACTCTATATGCATGTATAAAACTTGTATAATGGAAATTTTAACACTTTGAAACACCTCCTCAATGTAACTACCTATATAGGAAGTGCATCACTGTCCCAAAAGCCTACTTTCTTGCCTGATTTTACTAAATTCTGTGACCGATAAGCATACCTGAACCTGTTGATCCTCTGCTTGTCCAAGATTGATTACTATAATCAATAACAGTGCAAGAACGGCGGTGCTGTGGATCCGGCTGAAAAGACAGTTGAAGTTACCTATGTTTGCATGAAAAAAATTTTAAACAGCAAGATTATGTTTCAGCTACAAACTACTTAAATACATGTATTTCCAAATTTTTAAGATGTTGTAAAGGTCTAAGTAGAGCTTTTCCAAGTTTTAAGAGAATGAAATCAATTTTAGGAGCAGAAGATATACTTTTACAACATTCAGAATGATCACTGGGCCCGTGTAAAGGCATTCTCACCATTTCTGAAAATTGTTCTGTTTCAGAACAGATTTTACAAAGTTTGTACATTCAAAACTGCTAAGTCAAGGATGTTGAAGTTATACACAGAAACCAAACTAGCAGCTATTTAAAAGCTATTGTTGAAATCACAGCTTTTAAAGCTTATATAAAAATACTTAGATAGGACAAGATAACAGTAGAGTAGGCATTTCATTAAATTAAACCAAGAGCATTTGATCCTGAAAGACACTGGACAGTGCTAGTACAGCAAACTTGTGCAAGAGTTTGTGCAATGAAGACTCCTCCCTTTCCATTGCTGAATGCAGCTGCAGGGATGACTTCTTAATGTCTGTGCAAAACTTTAAAGCATCCCCTCCTACCCCACAGTTCTTAATCCTTCACAGAAGATGCTAGATTACCCATAGAGGTGACAGATTGAATGTTATACTTAAAGTAACACTTAGCTTTTTCTACAAGTGTCTCAGACTTGCATTTTTCCAGAAAAGTTTATACCACCAGCTGCATACAGGTGTAGTTAGGAGCTGCCTGTGAGGACTATAGTGCAATAGTTACCTGTGAACAAGCGCCTTGCCCTGTTTGTTTCAGGAGTGCCAAGCAACCATGTTTCTGTTAACCAGACAGTATCTCATCAAGTGGCAAACCTGATGAACTCCCTGGCACCGATCACCTACAACATCTGGTTCTCCAGTAATGTTTACCTATGTTAATTATCAAAGCACTCTATTCAGTAACTACGGATGATTTACTGTAATTTGCCATGCTTTACCAAGAACGAGATGGTTGTGTTAGGCCTGGAGAAATGATCAGGTAAGATAAGCCGCTCCTGTAGCTGCTGGTGGGTGTCTTGGGTTGTTACACTGTGAGCTCGACTTGAGTTCCCTTGAGATTTCTGCATTGAAGAATTAACACAGTTACAACTTTTTCTTTCTGCAGCAGTACATCTAAAATAATTAGCTTAGGAATTAAAGCTAACTTTCCAAGTCAATCATTCTACACCTAGTTATGAAGAGGAAAAAAATTCTGGCATTGATTGGAATCAAAGCATTCGACTCTGGGTGATGCCAATTGATACAACAAATTTTTTTGTGCATCTCTTTCAGTTGCTGTCACAAGATAACAAATAAATTGGAACCCTTGGGTTTGGTAATTTGATCAGCAGTGATTGTAATATTAGACTATTTAATAATTAAATTAGTGTGCCTATTACCGTTTGCCTCTGGGATCCTGCAGTGCTCACACGCTCTGCTACATTGGTGGTAGTGATAGGTGGTAGGAGATTATTTCGGTTTAGTAGCAGTGGGGAGGGTGAGGTCAGCTGTTCATGTGCAGTTGGACTGAAATGAAGCAGTAAAAACAGAAAAAAACCAACAGTTTATGTTTGTCATTGTGTAAACATACAATATTGTCTGTTTGGGATTATGTAGATAAACTGTTAAAACTAAGAGCAACAGTTGCAGAATTTTGCTACAAGATGCTGGTGTTCAGGCTGACTCTTGGACACTAGATTTAAAAGAGGAGTTCTGCAGTGCATGAGGTTTGGCAGAAATTTTTTTATCTATTAACATGAACTTCTAGTTTTTGTAAAGTTTCATATTAAGTATATAGGCAAAGAGAGGCTGAGAATGAGTACTCCAGCAGAAAACCTGTTAACAAGTGTATATAAAAGCTAGTTGGTGGTTAAAATGCATTTAATCCAGGGCATTTTGAAGGAGCGTGCTGTGCAGCTGGTACTGCAGAATAAAGGGGTGTCTATATAAAGGTGTCTTCATGGGCAGTTGCCACGCAGTGGTAGAGTCTTGTCTGCGCATTCCTAGACACGGCATCATTTTCTGCTCTTTGTTCATAGCCTGTGGGACAAAGCACTGCTTACTGCTAACTTCAGCCCAGCAACTGAAGATAAACAATGGGCCTAGAAAACAGCAATGGGCTGTATTTTATGTGGAGCAAGTATAAAAGCTATATAATGCAAATGCATATTGTAGCTCTTTCACCTATTACAAGCGTCAAACATACAGGCATAAAACAAGGCTTCTACCCTCTCCATCTTTTGTTTGAGTATTTGAAGGAACAGGTGCAAGAGGCTTTTAGAAGCCTTCTAAAGGGAGCCAAACCAATCTAATTGCACAAAATACAAAATTATTTAGGCATTAATC